CCTTCTTTCTTCCAGGAATGAACAAAGTTAACCCTTGCAGTGGGGCTAACCACTTACTGCAAGGCTTAACTACTCATATTGGTTTAGGACCTGGAAGATATGCTCACCTGATCTTCAGTCCTGCGGCAGTCCGCACTCACCTCTCTCCTCCGGCTGTGGTATGTCCTTCACCATCCTTACATCTAATGCAGCTGCATTAGACTTGATGACATCACGGGTCCTTAGAATGCCAGAGCCCAGGGGGGAGGGGGGGGGGACACTGTGGGGACCAGTCTAGCAGACAGGAGGGATTGAGGACCAGGGGAGTATATCTTCTTTAATCCATTCCCTAGACTAAAATGAGCACTTAAGTGCGGAGGGGCAGCCCCAGTAGTTGTTTTTTTTGCAATCAGTGTTTATTTGGGAAGATTTTTCATCACTCTCTGCCCTGTAGACACAGTGGGAAGTGAGAGGAAAACTCTCCAAAGTGCGGAAAATCCCCTCTCAGACAGTTGTCACCCTAAGTGTCCACTGAGTCTGATGAAGGGGACCCTGCGTGGCCCCGAAAGCGCTAGTTCTGGTGACATGACGTTCCAATAAACTAACACTTTGGATTTCAATACTATTGGTGTGCTGGTAATATCCATTCACTTTGTACTATTTGGCGCCATCTGCAGTCGCTGCAAGCACCCCCCTCATTTGATTTGGGGCTTTCCGGATCAAATGAGAGTGCGGCAAGGTAACTTCATGTTTGTTCCACAATTAAAGATTTCCCTTCTCTTCTGTTTTAATTGCAGTTAAAAAAAAAAAGTTAGGATTTCATGACTTCCTTCTCCAGCGACAATGGTCACCAGGACAAATAGAGGGGTGGACCTTCCTAGCCTGGACATAGACAGCAATAGGGACATATTAGGAATAGGAACCTAGGAGGGTTTAATTATTGACTACTGTATCCCCCCACAAAAAAAAATCTGTGGTTAGATTAACTTTAAATTAATTTTTTTTTATTGGGGGTTGTGGGCTAGGAACTAGGGTTACTTTGCATGTTCATGCAAGGTCCACTTTAATTCCCAAGGTGACATATTTTGGGATGGTCACGTACACACAATAAAATCTGGAAAACACTAAACAAGAAAATTGCCCTCACCGAACAAAATACATCTAAAATTCTACATTGCAACAGAGATAAGTGACTATGACAAACATGGGAGGCAAGCGAAGTTGCCAGGGAGTGGATGAGGAGCTGATACAATCACCAAATCATAATGTTCAAACAGCATGAAGTCATAAAGAGTAGGTGAAGCATGTTCCTCCCTGGCTTCTCGTGACAATAAATACCTCCCGCTGTGGAGGAGAGCCAGCACTGCCCAATCATTCTAAATCTAATGTGAAATGGGTAAAGCATGTCTACATATTCCTATGTGTGTCATCTGTATAGCATAGAGAGAGCAGGAGCCCCATAGGGTGGGAGGAAGACTTGGCACCAGAAAAGGTTTTTAGGCAAGTCCAATTGGTCTTTCATCCTCGAGAGCAGTTGGTGCGATCTGCTGCTGTCATAGATATGAAATTGTCTTACATATCCAAATCAGTCACTGATGATGTAACGGTACCCACAGACATGACGTTCAACCCTCTCATTGTTAACGGGAGGCCCCCAGTTGTCTCTAATGGAGGAGATAGTTGATTGGATAGGTTAGAAAACCCGTACTGACTGTTGCTGGTCTCATGTCATGACTCCTCACCTCTCCTACAAACACATGCAGGGTTATTCACAAAAGGGTGAAGAGTTTGGAGAAGGCCGGAGAAGGGAACAATCTAGGACAACATAGCTGATTTGGAAACATTCTCCAATTCAGCTCACTGTCCAGTTCAGCGATGTTGTCCTAGATTGTTCTCTTCTCCGGCCTACTCCAAACTCTTCACCCCTTTTGTGAATATCCCTGATAAACTTGTACTGTTAAAGGAGAACTATGAGGCGAGTGATTTTCACTCAGCCTCATAATCTGAGCTGACCTGTGACCATGAGACTGTCACAGGTCGGCTCAGTGGATCGGGAGGTGAGCGAACACATACCGGCGCTCGCTCACTTCTTGATCTATCCGTGCAGAGAGCCGTGACTGTCATTCACGGCTCCCTGCAGGGTTCCCCCCCTCCTCGCTCCGATCTTCCAGCGCTAAATGACGGAACGGACGGGGAGGGGGCGGGTACAGCTGGCTCTCAAAAGTTTTGAGTTCAGATTGTGTTGTTAAAGGAGAACTATGAGGTGAGTGCTTTTCACTCCCCTCATAGTTCTAGCCGACCTGTGACAATGAGACTGTCACAGGTCGGCTCAGTAGATCGGGAGATGAGCGAACACATACCGGCGTTCGCTCACTTCTCGATCCTGTCACGGCTCTCTGCCGTGACAGGGGGAGGGGCTGGATTCCACCCTCCCCGCTCCGATCCGCCAGCGCTGACTGGTGGATCGGACGGGGAGGGGGCGGGTACAGCTGGCTCTGCTTCTAGATAGGCAGAGCCAGCTGTCACTAACGCAGCTGGGTGGATCCCGTCATCTACGTCGGGATCCGCTCCGGCTGCGGCGTCTCAGTATACAGCGAGCTGTAGTTTGCGGTATGCTGAGCTCTGGGTGACGGGAGGACGCTAGTTTGTGTCCTCCCGTTACCCTTAGAACTATGGGGAAAAGCCTTAACCCCATAGTTCTCCTTTAACATAGCTGTGTTTACTTATTTTGTGAAGTATTATGCAGATACATTATATGGGCAACGGTTTGTGACGATCATACCTATACAAGCTTTTTGGATATCCCTTTCCAAAACCATGGCCATTAATATGGGGAGAATCATCTTCTCTATTAGTCCTGGTGACCACTGTCTTTGAGGCTCCAGGCAAGTCCACACATGTGCAGATTTTTCATTAATTCCAAGTGGGAAGTCCATTGATTGTTAAAGTGACACTAAACTCAGCAGTTAAATATTAAAAATGCATCCAAGTACCTTAACTATTCCCAAAATTGTATCTTATTTGTGTATCACTCGGCTGCAGATCCTCCAATCTTCTCTGAATTGGTGCTGACACTGTCCTTCCTTCTGGAGGGGGTCTACTTCTGTTCCCCATGCTCCCTGTGTGTGTTGTAAAGTAGTCACCGCTCCAAGCTCGTTCATGGGGGTTGGACTACAATCTCAAGTTTAGTTTACTAATTTGTATTGAGACTGTAGTCCATCCCAGGAGTGAGCTTGGAGCGGTGACTACTTTACAACAAACACAGGGACCATGGGGAACAAAAGTAGCCCCCCTCCAGAAGCTTGGAGTGGTGGCTACTTTACAACACACACAAGGACCATGGCAGGGAGCAGGGGTGTAGAATCTCCCGCCTCCATCCTCTCCCCGTGCTGTGTACCTCTCTCCACCAGCCGGAGATTCTCAGGATGGAGAGCAGAGAACGTCCGTTCTCCTTTTTGCTCCATGTATACAGTGAGAGGGTAGCGCTGCACTCGCAGCTCTTTCCCTGTCAGTTGTCACAGGAGTTTCAGCACAGTGCTGTGCTAGAACTCCTGTATTGGAGGTGACAGGTTCAATAAAGCGATACCTGTCACCTCCAAATGCTATCACACAGGGGCTTGTTATCTCCTGTGTGATAGCAATAAACTTAAGTTAAAAAAAAAAGATTAAATATTAATTAAATAAAAAAAATATATGAAATAAAATTAAAAAGGTGATTGAAAAGTAAAAAAATTATAAGAAAAAATTATAACAAAATAAACAAAAAATAATTCAATTAAAAAACATATTAAAAAATTAAAAAATAATAAGATAAAAAATTATAAAAAAGTAATAGATGATAAGATAAATTAAAATTTGAAGAATAAATAAAAATTAAAAAGTGATTAAAAAAAATTAAGTAACAAAAAAAATTTAAACTAATCCTGCCGCCCCAGCCATCTGGTTGCCAGCCTCCATTGTGGGGGAGGGTGTTTGGCGGGGAGGGGGGTGCATTGGGGAACCACCTGGCCTTGGGGCAGCGGAGAGAGTAAATCCAGCCCTGGCGACAAAACGCCTAGGTGTGAACGGGACTTCGAGCCCTTTCTCTTCTTGGCAATTGCTGAGTTTGCACCAGCAGATGGAGCCATTGATCTCACCATCTTCACGTTGTTTAAAGGGGTTCTAAACCCTCCGGTTGTTTTTGCCTATATCTACAGCTAGCAAGCAGTAGATATAGGCAAGAAGTGTAAAAAAAAAACCCCCAAAAAAGCTTAAAATCATTTAAAACTTACCTCGTTATCGCCGCTCGTTCCCGCGCCGAGTATCAGGAACTTCTCGTACGGCCGCAAAGGATCTTGGGGCGGGCGCATGCGCAGTTCGGATTCTCGGCCGGGAGACGAGCAGAGACGCAAGGTAAGTCCATGGACGCATGCACCCGCCTGCAGACACCGCTGGATCGGAGGGACAGAGCAGTCAGCGCTGGATCGGAGTGACGTCACACCGCTGGAGGGACAGATGAAAACATGGGGAAAGAAGAGGAAGATCGGTAAAAGAGACATAATTTAAGGTAAGTGCTAACATTTACATGGGGGGGAGGGGAAAAAAATTTGCCTTTAATGTCACTTTAATGCTTCCTGACAGAGATACGTCTGTTTCTCCCCCGTCTTCTGAAGCTCTCTCTTGCTCTGCTGAAATGATATATGTCCCCCGCATGATCTCAAAGCCAGGGCAATTTCCGTTTCTTTATTTTTTTATTATTGAAAGGAGCATTCACCCCTTTTTTCCTTGTCAAGGGCCGCGGCCTAGTTGTTTGTTTTGCCTCCTCCGGCGTTTCCGGAGCTGGGAGGCCGGTGATGTGTCGACACTGGAAACTCACGAACCTCTGACGTCACATCCGGTGACCCGAAGTTGTAGATCTCCACAGACGGTAGCGACAGATCACCGGCGGCCCGCGGGTGGCGGTGAGCGGGAAGAGTCGGGGCGGAGAGCTCGGTGCAGGCCGTGACTCGGAGGAGTGTTGCTATAGAGGCGGCTGGAGGACGATGGCCTGTCTGGGGAACAGTAAGGACCGGCGCAATGAGGAGAAGCAGCAGCGGAAGGCCCACAAGAAGATCGAGGAGCAGCTGCAGAAGGACAAGCAGGTGTACTGGGCCACGCACAGGCTACTGCTGCTAGGTGCTGGAGAATCTGGGAAAAGCACAATCATGAAGCAAATGAGAATCCTTCATGAGAACGGATTTAATGCTGAAGAGAAAAAGGCTAAAGTAAAAGATATTAAGAATAATATTAAACAGGCTATTGAGACCATAGTTGCAGCAATGCACTTCCTGTTACCTCCAGTGGAGCTAGCAAATCCAGACAACCAGTTCCGAATCGATTATGTCACAAACTTACCGAGCGACAAAGATTTTGACGTCCCGTTGGTCCGTGCGCCTGAAAGCATTACAGAGAATTCTGGCACGTCTGACACACACTCACGGCATGCATGTCTCCAGAAGTTCTATGAACATGTAAAAGCGCTCTGGCAAGATGAAGGCGTGAAGGCCTGCTACGAGCGATCGAACGAGTACCAGCTCATTGACTGCGCGCAGTATTTTCTAGATAAAATCGACATTGTGCAACAGAATGACTACACACCCTCTGACCAGGACTTCCTACGGTGCAGAGTCCTGACATCAGGAATATCTGAAATAAAGTTTCAATTTGACAAAATGAACTTTCACATGTTTGAGGGCTGTGGTGCGCGTGATGAGCGCAGAAAATGGATTCAGTGCTTAAATGATGTGACAGCAATTATATGTGTGGTAGCCAGCAGCAGTTATAATATGGTGATCCGAGAGGACAATCAGACCAACAGACTCCAGGAAGAACTAAACCTCTTTAGAAGCATCTGGAACAGTAGATGGCTACGGAAAGTTTCAGTCATTCTCTTCTTGAATAAACAAGATCTACTTGCTGAGAAGGTTTTGGCTGGGAAATCGAAAATCGAGGACTACTTTCCAGAGTTTGCTCGTTACACCACCCCAGATGATGCAACTCCAGAGGCTGGGGAAGACCCCAGAGTCACAAGGGCCAAGTACTTTATCAGAGATGAGTTTCTTAGAATCAGTACAGCAAGCGGAGACGGCCGGCGCTACTGTTACCCTCACTTCACATGTGCGGTGGACACGGAAAATATTCGAAGGGTTTTTCATGATTGTCGGGACATTCTCCAAAGGATGCACCTCCGTCAGGACAAACTGTTGTGATGGAGAGATTCTTCTATATATTTCTTCCTTTTTTCCTGGACTCTTAATTCAATTAAAAAAAGAAATGAAACTGCAAAAATCCCACAGAAAAACAAACAAAAAAATCTATAAAAAAATAAAGGGGGCGGGGGAAACAATTCACCCATCAAGGGATGGAAAAAAAAAACCTGCGTGCAAACTCCCTCTCCAGCTTGCACCTGTTTTTACTTGTTTCCTTGCTGCCGGACAATTGTGGAACTGTTAGCTTGCTGCCCTTCACCCCCCTCGATGCCCTGAAACAGCACGGGCTGGCGCCAAATCTACCCTTGACCTCTCCCCCCTTTACACCCCCTCTCCCTTTCAAAATGCCAACATTAAATGCAGTGCGCGTGGAGGATTTAGACTTAATGTAAAGGTATACAAATGCAGCTGGAAGGGAGGGACTGTACCGTAGGCTGGAGGCTGTACGTAGACTTTCCTCCCCTTTCAATAATAAGCTGGGCCTCATTTTTTCTTTGTTTTTTTTCTTCTTTTAAATCTTCACGCATTATATCAACTTTGTATTCCTTCACTGCATTGCCGACCTCCAACTGAGAGAGAGGACACCTGACTCTTGACTGAAAAAAAAGAAAGAAAAAATTGTCTTGGTTGGGTGTGCGGTTGCAAGAGGTAATTTATTTTGCCTTTCACAAGGGTGCCATTGTTTTCTTTTCCTTTTTAATTTTTTTTTTTCTTTAGAGAAAATAATAAATACTTGGATATGAATTTCAACATATCAATGTATTTATTTTCTAAATAAAAGCCCTGGCCATTTTAATTTGGTCACAGTTAACCATGCTTTTTTTTTTTGTGCCTTCCTCCTCACCCCACCACCACTCCACTTTATCCTTAAAGTGACATTAAACCCTCAGATTTTTTAACATAAACCAATACTGTAATGTGTGCCTGAGGCCCCATTCACACTGAGCGATTCGCAAATCGCGCGATTTGCATTTTGCGCGACGTCGCGCAAATGGCTGCATTAAGGAAAGTAGAATCGCGCCGAAATCCGCTCCAACAAGGGTCCTTTTGTAGCGACACACGACCCGCGACGAACAGAGCCCCATTGCCATGCATTGGAGAGCGATATCTCGCAGTAAATATCCGCGATATCGCGCAGTGTGAATGGGGCCTTACTGTAATCCATGATTATTTCCCTTCTCTTTGCTGCTCTTCCTTTTAAATCCGTACCTCTTCTCATGCTGGGCAGAACTTCTGTTTTGCAGCAGACTGCCTTGTCTCTGGAATGGATACATGGTGTCTGTGTGTAGGTTTGCAACCTGAGCCAGCACTACAGGAAGAGGCTTATGTTAAAAAATCTGAGGGTTTAATGTCACTTTAAGGTGGCTAGGGCTGCAACAACTAATCGATTATAATCGATTATTGAAAAAGTTGTCAACTTTTTCAATCATCGATTAATCGGCTTCAGATTGGTTGGCCCTGTTCACAGCTCCACACACGCTGCGCGCCACACCTCCTCCCCACCTCACGCTCGCTGCTGCCAGACCCGCCGCATCCACGCTCCACACGCCGCACCTCCTCCCCGCCTCACGCTCACCCACATCCGCGAGGAGAAGAACACACGAGGAGCAGGTGTGGGGGGATGACAGCCGCCGATAGACAGGCCCGATCTCAGAAACAAGTTGCTGGAAGACTGAGACTTTTGTCTTGCCAGGGTTGTAAAGTACTTAAAAAAACGTACGATCTGCCCATCTTGGACAGGCAGATAGTACTTGCGATCATCGCAAGCCCACTCCCCTGAGGGGCGGGCTTGCGATAACTGCAATGAGCGGCGGGCTTTCGATGACTGCAAACGGGCAGCGTGCACGTGCGCACACTGGCCCGTTCGGCAGTTGTCGAACAAGCAGGCCACTAACTCGCCAAGAATCGTACGATTCCCGGCGGGGTTTCCAGCCTGCTTGTTCGACGGAAGGCGCGCGACCGTACAGTAGAAACATTGCGATCATCGCAAGCCCACTCCCCTGAGGGGCGGGCTTGCGATAACTGCAATGAGCGGCGGGCTTTCGATGACTGCAAACGGGCAGCGTGCACGTGCGCACACTGGCCCGTTCGGCAGTTGTCGAACAAGCAGGCCACTAACTCGCCAAGAATCGTACGATTCCCGGCGGGTTTTCCAGCCTGCTTGTTCGACGGAAGACGCGCGACCGTACAGTAGAAACGGTCACACGCCTTCCATACACTGCACGATTATCCTACGATCGTGAAATTTCCCGCGATTCTCATACGAGAATCGTGCAGTGTATGGGCACCTTTTAGATGACCTTTTGTGTGATCTTTAAATCTTCAGTCCTGAACAGAATGTTAGACCTATCCGCACGAACATGATCACTTCCTTTTTCCTTCTGTACAACACCCCACTTACCTATACTTTTTTATTTTGTGTTTTTTTTTTTCTGTTTTTTTATTTTACTGCTGGACTATTCTTTGTACAGAATGTAAAATTTATTATTTTGTACAACTTTATTGGAAAAAAAAATAACTTATAGAAGATCTTTGTACATTG